TTTCAGTCTCAGCCATTGCTCATCTTAGAAATTTATATCGAGTCAGACATTTGCTGGATAGATCAACTCTGGAGGATCTGGTCCATGCGTTCATAACATCACGACTGGACTACTGCAACAGTTTGTTTTACGGTTTGCCTAATAGATCAATTGACATTCTTCAGTCGGTTCAGAACAGGGCTGCAAAACTTGTAACTGGCAAATTGAAATTTGACCATGTAACTCCAATATTGAATGAGCTTAACTGGTTAAAAATTAAGAAAAGAATAATTTTTAAAATTGCAGTGATTGTGTTTAAATCCTTGAATGGAATGTCACCGGCTTACATCTCAGATAAATTTTCCAGGAAGGCATCTACAACTTGTTTTCATCTAAGATCAGATAATATGAATCTTTTGGCGGTTCCAGCTAGGCATCTACGAATAGGTGCGAGAGATATTGCGGTCGCAGGTCCGACAGTCTGGAATGACCTACCAGTTTCATTAAGAAGATCTGGAATTAACTTTGTGACATTTAAAAGGGAATTAAAAACATACTTATTTTCTGTGGAAAAACAATGAATTTGAATATTTTGATTTATATCAATCATGCACAGTTATTTTGTTATTTTATTTTTGATGGCGCTTTTGAAATTATTAATTTGCGCTATACAAAATGTTTCTAAATAAAAATTAAAAAAAAACCCACACATACGCACTAATATATACAAACACGCGCAAACATATATTTATTACTATATGTAATGGTTTTATAATATGTAAATTGTATAAGTTTAATAATGTCTATATTATATATGTATATAATGTTGTTTTGCTGGCAAATCAGCAAAATACTTCCTATTTTGTTTAAATTGAAACATGTCCAGGTTTGAATATTTTGAATTCAGGTGCCTTCAAACCTAAATAATTTTTTTTCATTATTTTTTCGAATCTCAGTTTAATATCATTGTATAATAAAACTGATATAGCTGATTAGATACCATCATTTAAAAATAAAATTCAATTGCCATCATTTATAAAATATACGTGCAGTTTGTCTACACATTAGAAAACGTATTTTAACGAAGCCATTTCATACCAAAAATCTCTGAAAGCAAAAATTGAAATTATTAGAAGAAAAATTTCTGTATTTAATTAATTAAAATTACTCCAAATTATTAGAAAAAAATTTCTGTATTTAATTAATTAAAATAACTCCAAAAGTATCACTGCTATTTAAAAGTTCATCATTATATGACTGAGTATTGAGTCAGTCATATAATCAGTTTTTATTATCAGCAATGTTTATTTTAACTGGTGCTCTATACAAATTTTTACTGTCTAATTTTAGTTAAAAGATTCAAAGACTACAAATATTTTGATCGGTCATTTAGAAATCAAATGTTTTACAAGTTTATAGATGCGTATGTACTGTTCCAAACTCATGAACGTGTCGTTGTTGGAGTAAACATCGTAAATATCAGTTGATGCCAGGTTGGCATAGGCGTAGTTGTTGAGTTTGTTGTTCCTAGTACGAACTGGCAGTTGGTAGGTGGTCTGGTAGACATCCACCTTCTTGCGGGTGGCCATCATCTCCAGCAGGGTCAACATCACCAACAATTCGTCGATGCTTAGGTCGTTCGGTGGTTGGCCGTTGCTGGGATGAAAGTTCCAAAAATTTGCGATTGAGACATTTCGAAAAAAATTGTAATAGGTTTATGAGAACAGCTGATAAATGATATTGTATCAAATTGTTAATTAATAATATGAAGCAACCACTTTATGCTTACATAAACTATTTTCAATCTCAACAAAACTGAATTTACGCTCTTAGCAAAAAATTAAAAAAAGACCAACTTGAAAAGAATTGGAATCGGAGGAGTGGTAGGATTGCGGATGGTCTCCATGAGCACCTCGTACAAGAAGGCCACCTGATCCAGGGATGAAACTGTGAAGAGTTTCACCTCCCTGCAACTGAGGGCCACATTTTCATAAACTGCTTGCTCCGATTTGTTCTCGTAAGTCGTCGATTTGATGGTCAGTTTGAGGCTCGTGCACGGCATTCTTACTGGCGCGCTGTAGTCGTCCTCGCCGTTTGCAGGCTGGCTCGTGTTCTCCAGGCTGAAGTTTTTGAAGGTTTTCGACTGCTTCGGTTCGGGTAGAAGAGAAGTTTTGATAACCTAGAAGGAGTTTGAATTCAACATCAAAGTTTGATCAACTCTCGAAAAATATTTTCAACCGAAAAATTTGTTTAAAACAAAGATCATGAAATACTCACTTGATTGGAGTTGTTTGAGTCGAGAAGCACGATGATAGAGCCATCCGCCAGCAAATCTCCGTAAAGTTCGTCTCCGGTCAGGCTGTCAATCATCTCGCGAATCACAAACGCGCGTGGTCTGGTGAAGCAGTGGAACGATCATACAAATCATTTTTACAAAAGTTTTGCACTAAAATTGGTCAATTTAAATTAAAAAAAAATGTTTTACGTTTCGATGTTGATCATCAAGGAACTTCTTTTCTGCGTTAAAATAAGTGAAATTAAAATAATTTGTCTGGTGATATATCAGTGACATCAGATTTCATTAAACAAAAAACTTGTAAAAATAATAGTTTTTACTCTTCTTCATTTTTCTCTGGTTTAGATTTTTCTCCGTTATAATCTGTTTCGTAATGAGTTCAGTTAATCAGGTGAGAACATTCGAGAATGTACAAATAAAAACAATAAACCATCAAGTTGTATCTACCTGATATTGATTCTCAACATTTTGCTGAAACTTTTCCGAATCCACAAATCGAATGAAAGAATCATCCTCTATTGGGAAGCAGGTTGTGTTGCCAAGTTTTGTGTAGGCAATCAGAGCCTTGTAAAGCAGGTCATACTGGTGCTGTGTGTTGGAAAAAATTTGTTTCATTTTAGGTAAAAAAAAATATGGTAACAAAATTCACTAACGAGGGTTTGAATCATAAAGTTGCGGTGCGATCTGAGGTAGAGGAGGCACTCTGCGACATCCACCGCGTCAGTCTCTCGAGATTGTTCCAACAAATAATCCAGGCCTATCAACGTGCCTGTGCGACCAACACCAGCGCTGATAAATTTTTAAAGTTTTCAAAATTTTCAAAACTCTGTATATAATGAAGGCATTTACATACGAACCTGCAATGAACAAGGACATTAGAAACGTTGCCCTTGTTGCTGGCCACTAACTGCGACACGAGTGTCCACATGTGGTAGCGGAAGTTGAGCAGACTGCCAATGTTCTCTGGCACGCCGTGGTCAGGCCAGGCGGTGTACCACATGTGAGTCACAATGAATTCCACCGAACTTCTTTTCACTGAAAATTTTCTGATTTCATAGGTTAGCCATCTCTCCAATGAAAGGAATTTTACTATGGTGCCACCGTACTCGCATTTCTTCTCGTCAGCGTCTGGCCAATATTTGAGACATTTTTCCTAAATAAAAAAATAAACATGATAAAAGAAATCCCAAAAGATATAACTCAAAAAATAAGAACCATAAAAAATATTTGAAATGAAACAAGACTGCAGACCTTATTGTTCTCCTTGAGCATGGTCAACATGACGATGATCCTCGTCTCATTCTCAACCACCATCCTCCAAAAATCATTCAAAGTTTCTCGCTTCACACCTTGACAAAGTTTCAAATAAGTTATTTTATCTCTAAAATCAGTGAAACAAAAAACAATATTGAGCATGTTACCTTGGGCTCCAATGAACAAGTAACTTCTAGGTCGGTAGCTCTTTGTGTATGAAAATAAAATATCGTAAAATTAGCACGCTACTATTTTTGCAGGTGTATATATCAAAAATGATACTATAGATACATTTTATCCATTTAAATTTTGATACTTCAATACATATCAATCAAAAAAATGATGTTTGTATCCATTTTCAATCCAAAACATAATGATAATATCACTAAATGGGTGTAATGTACCGGTATGAAACTAGCGTTAATGTAATCAGATGATGGCTGTCCGTCTAACATCTTCAGTTTTACTCTGTTATGATCGACTGCGATGGAATTTTAGAAAGTTTCTTTTGCCGGAGTTAAATACATAGAAATTAATATTAACAAATAATTGTTTAAATGTAAAATTTGTAAAATTTGGAAAGGTTTCTTACATGGAACGATGTTTCTGTAGCGGTTTTTCTTCTTAAGTTCTGATTTCTTGGCGTAAGAGCAACTAACATCACTCATTGTAGGTACATTCTGAGTAAAGATGAAACTACTTTTTTGGCAAAATACATATTTAAACAGCGTTAAATAATTCAAAACTGAATACAAAAATTAACAAAATTATTTCTTTTATATTTTGTCTTATTTTCTTCAAATTTTCCCAAATTAGTCACCATAAATTCTGCTTCCACGCCAGCTCCAGTTAAAGCCTTGTAGTGTTCTTCAATTTCCTTGATGGGAATGTTGTTAGGAGATGAACTGGCGATAGCTGCAGTGTGCTCTTTCACTATCGTTTGCTTGAAATCTCCTGGAAATTTTATAAAATTTCATTGTTTAAAATCTTTCATATAAACGCTGATTTAGAAAAAATGGATTGAAAATTAGAGAAAATGTTGTTTGGATGGATATGAATTAAAAAAAATGAATTAAAAAAATTACACAAAGACTGACTCACTTCTCCTTTTTGTCCACGGTTTGTTGAATGCCCTATCAACAATTAGAACATCACCGTTATAAAATCGACAATGAAACAACATTAACCCGAAAAACAGTTTTTTACCTCTTAGCATAGCAGAAATAGACAATCACGACAATCCCGCCAACAAAAAGCAGACCTAGTATCGAGCCAACCACACCTCCAATGACTGCCGCTTTGTTTGTTGAAACTTGCTCTTATGGAACAAAAAGTTTGAGAATTAATTTGTAGGAATATGTTGTTTGCAAATCTCAAAATGTTATATTTCGTTGTAAGCTAAATGGGAAAATAAATTTGAGATTACTTATGCAATCATGTCTGCCATTATTCACATAGCCATCTACACAGTTGCACTCGTAAGAACCAGGCGTGTTCACACATGTAGAAATATTTACTGGACATTTGTCAAGATTGGACGAACATTCATCAACATCTTGAAAATTTATAAATTATTTGTTAGTTATAATTTGATGATTACATATTGAAATGAATAGTATCGTATTGTATCGCATGGTATAATAAAATGATATTCACCTTTACAATCATCATTAAAGAACAGTTTATAGTACCCATCGTTGCACGCACATTCAGAAAGACTGGATGGTTCAATGAGGTTTGTCTTGCATGTATGTACTCCACACATTCCATTGTTAACTGAACAGTCTTCAATGTTTAAATAAATCTAAAAATACTCTAATAACTTTTTTTATAACGAAAAATTGAAAAAATATTTATAGTTAAAAACAAGAAGAATGTTATGTCTCTAACCTCTGCTGTTACATCCAATTGAGTTAGAAGTTTTCGTACAACTTGAAACTTTCAGAAAAAATTTCAAAATAATAAGCTGGTTGAATGATGAAATATTTTCAAAATGTGAAACCTAAATTGATAAAAACTGGATCAAACATACCATTATAAACTGCGAAGTAACCAGTAGCTCCACAGAGATGATCATCGCTCGAACAAGCAACTCCACAATGATCTGAAGATGCCAGGTCGCCTGTTAATGTGTTACTGCAGTAACAATCTTTACCGTTCTGTGGATTTATTTTATATTTTACAACTAATATTTCAGTGATAGATGAATTGTTAAACATAGTGAATGATAGTTTAATAAAAATTATTTATAACCTTATAACATTTTTTTGTTTTGAAATCAAAATTTTTATCTTAATAAACTTACAATGACTCCAGCATAGAGGTTAGAACTGCATATATCTAAACATTGGTAGAGTAAAATAACGCTTCCCTGATTATTTGCACTCGAAAAATTTTGAAAGCAGCCCATGTAACGATCGGAATAACTACCTGATTTTGAAATATTATAATTTTACAAAATTTGTATGTTATATCAGATACGTTTTATTTTTCATACTCGTGTCATCTCCATATATTTGAAATTCAGCCACGTTGGCGATGTTATCTTCCGCATTAGAGAACAGCACAACGTATCTTGGTTTTTGAAATGGTTGTGAACAGTTCAGTCGACAAACATCACCAAGATTTCCGCAAGGTGAATATGCACCACAGCCATTATTGACAATTGGTGAGCTTCCAACTGCATAATCCAACAACAATCCCACTGAAAATTTGGTCATCCTAGCAGCTAATATGAAATTTAAGTTAAATGAACGTTTTATAAATATAATTGAACAAATTTAAAATTATTAAACTATAAACATATTAAACGTTTTTTAACGATGACACAATTATATTGAACGAGTGGTTATGGTTATGATAATCGTTAGTTAATTACCGTCTCCATAGATAATGCCATCAGCAGCTTTAACAACATTATAGAGTACCATATACTCCACCCTGTACAATCCACCAAGATCAAACACCATCCAGTTGCTTCCTTTTGCAGTATGAGCAACATTTCCCACATCTCCATCGACAGCATTCGAACATGGGTACCTACCATCATAAGGTTTGCAATACACTTGTTTCTTGAAGGCCAAATTAACTACTGCTGCACTGCAATCTGCAGAATTTCATAGTCAGTTTTTTTGAAGCAACATTTTCATTTAATATAAATATTTTTGTTCCTATAAAAAGTTGGTTGTCCTGATCAAATGACTATCTCTACATCAACAACCATCAATAGGACATTAAAAATTAATTTTTCACTGATTCAAGACAAATTTAAACAATCGAATTACCTGTAAATATAAAACAAATTAAACCGAACACGTTTAAAAAACATAATTTTTTCATATTTGTAATATATTTGGCGATAAATACTCGAAAAACATGAGCATCGAACAAGCAACAAAACTAAAAAATTACGTGACTTTATACCAAAAACCGACCCAAAACATCTTGCGAGATTTTCTTTAATAGGATGTAATCTATTGTCCAGGTTAATAATGCCTACATAATGATGACTGCTGAATTTTTGCCTCTTATAAGTAATTTACACAAAAACACACACCACACACACATACACCAATACACACACACACACACACCAATATATACAAACACACGAAAACATATCTGTTACTATTTATAATGGCTTTATAATGTGTCAATTGTATTTTGTATTAGTTTTATAGCGTCTATATTATACTTGTATGTATGTTGTGTTGCTGGCAAATCAACAAAAAGCTTCCTATTTTGTTGAAATTGAAACACATCCAGGTATAATTATTTTGAATCTAGATGCTTTCATACTTAAATAATTGTATATATTTGTTTTTATTTGTTCGAATTTTAATAAGCATGAATTTAGAAAATAATAGTTTCGTATCATTAAAGTATAAAAAAGTTGTAAAAAAAAAACTTCAAAAAATTCTGGAAAATAGCAAATAAAATGTTGTCATTTTGAAATAAGTTTAATTTTTGCCTTTCTCTGATAGAAGACACACACACGCACACGCGCGCGCACATACACACACATACACACACACACAGAGGCACACACTGATCATTTGTATCATTATTCACAAGGCACAAGGAAGTTTACACAAATTTACAACGAACGAGACACCGCTTTGCCAATTATCACTGAATCAAATCAGTTTTGCTGCACATCAACACACACACGCACACACATACCCATACATACACATACATACACATACACACATACTGTACACGAATGCGTGTGTGTGTACATGTGTTGTGTGTGCGTACATACATACATACGCACGCATACATACATAATGCAGTTTCACACACAAAATAGAATATAATAATCACACAAAACAGACATTTTCATTTTAATTTCATTCTTAGTCATGAAAATAGGAAAGTTTGAAAATTTTGGCACGAGCAATAACGCACTTGTTGTTTGCATTCGCATCACTTAGACGTTATTATTATTATTACAATTATTCTATTTATTATTAACGCTGCTAATAGCATCTTATTACAATTTTGTTATTAGTACTTTAAAAAACACAGCTCTACTACTACTCCTACTACAACTACTACATCAACTACTACACCAACTACTACTGCAACTACTACTGCAACTACTATTTCTACAACTACAACAACTACTACATTTTTTATTTTCGATATATACATGGCAGATGAATGACAAACAACTTATTCTTATGTTCGATATGGGACCATTTGACGTTTTACAACTTAACCACACAAAGCGACATTTACTCTCAATCATTGGACAAAGCTATCAAGTCATTCATTGCACATCTATGATAGAGATCTTCCATTTCAATATATTCGCTATAAGAAGTTTACTAAGAGTGGATCTTTAAGTTCGTTATAACCGAACTTTTGTTGCTCATTTGTTTATTACGTAGTCGAGTGAATAAAATGTATTTTGGGCAAAAAAGCTTTTTTTAACGACATTACTAATAAATAATAGCAACAATAATAATATTAATAATAATATTAATAATAACAATAATCATAAAAACAATAATAATGTATAATAATAAAGTATAATAATAATAATAATCTATCATAAAATAAAATCATTTAATTGAACAATAACAACCTCAACAACAACAACAAAATGATGTTCAAACAGTTCTCACGTTCATTTCATTTGCATTAAAATAAAAAAAATAATAAACTAATCACACAAATAAACAATCCACACACACACACGCACACGTACATGCGCGCACATTCTCAAACATACACACACACACGCACACAGAGTCAAATATAATCGACATCGGATTCGTGTCCAGTAGAGGTCATCATTTTCTTGCTAACCCTTCGACCTGACCTTGACCTCCCATACTTCTTCTTCATCTCCACCACCATCGGTGTGGCTATCAACTTGGCCCGACTCTTTTTGAACTTTGTCCTCAGGGCATTTCTCCACGAGAGCTGACAAATAATAATGATAATGACAGAATGAATGAATGAATAAATGGATGAATGAATGAATGAATGAATAAATGGATGGATGAATGAATGAGTGAATGAATGAATGATTGATTGAATAAATAAAACAGCAGCATAATACTTACAAACGAGCCATCAACATCACATAGGTAGGGGTAATGGATTCGGATCTTGTTGCAAATCTCTGAATACAGCTGATGTGACGGATACCTGTGTG